CTCAGGGTATATGCCCAGTAGTGGGATTGCTGGGTCATATGGTAGTTCTATTTGTAGTTTTTCAAGGAACCTCTGTACTGTTCTCCATAGTGGCTGTACCAATTCACATTCCCACCAGCAGTGCAAGAGTGTTCCCTTTTCTCCACACCCTCTCCAGCATTTATTGTTTCTAGAGTTTTTGATGATCCAGCCTAGACTTTGAGACAGTACACTCAAGAGAAAGTCTGGCCAGGATAACAACTGCCTTACTGGTCTGTTAAGAATGAGCCTCATTACTTCTAGCCTTTTAGTTAGTTAGCTCTCCCCAATCAAGGAAAGCAGACCAAAGCTGATCACCCTCCAACAAAGTAACTCATCCATGGAAAGATGTAAGAGATGAGTCAAGAGATCAGCAGTTGTTTCTTTAAGGGAGTCCTTCCCCTTGGGTATATGTAGGATGAGTGTGCCGTAACTGTCCCTCCCTTATACAGGCTGCTACTCTGTACATTCTGTGCATCTGAAATACAGACTGAAAGAGCTTAAAAGATTAATTCTGATTAAAAAGTTAAAATCCAACATTTTGTAAGCACATGTCACTTAACAATAGTTTTCTTCTTTTAACAAGGTTTTAGCATTCATTTGAATGTAAGGATGCAGTTATTAAAATTTTTCTAAGAGAAAGAGGCATTTTCTAGCTCTATGAATAGGAATCTGTAATGACTGGCACCAAGAAAATTACTCTGATTTCATCAGAAAGTAAATGCTGCAAAATTTAAGCTAACTTAGCTTGTTACAATTTCAATTGAAAGATTTTTAAATGACTATGAAGTATTTATTGTTGGCTAGAACACTGTACAAAGTATAAAGAAAGTCATGGACCCAAAAGACAATGAAAAAAATTGATCCTACAAGAAATACAGGTATCCAAGGAGCAGGGGTTGTTAGAATAAATATAAATACTGTTGGGGGACCTAGAACTTAAGTTACTAATGAGAGGTATTTCAACAGCACACCTTTTCTCCTACATTCTTCTAATCTTCTACCCTGTATTCTCTGAAAAGATGCAATATCCAAATTGGAATATGCCCTGTGAACAATCAAAGCCACTCTAAAAATAGAGTGAGCCTCTGGTATGTCACCGGTATACATACGTCCACTAAAATCTTCTGGAATCCCTTTGAGAGCTTTTAGAACCAATTTGAAACTTGGGGATACAAGGAGAGGGATTCCTTTGCTGGATGAGGGCAATAAAAGGCCAATATAAATATAACCTATTGAATAAAAACAGTCAAGCAATTACTCATTCGGTGAATTACTGTTTAGTTTTAGTTACCATGTTCATATTTTTTCATTTAATAAATATTTAAGTGTCTCCTATGAAGTAAAGAAAGAAAGAAAATACCATTTGTCCTAAAAATGAAGTAATAACTTGACAAGGTCATAAGTCAGTAAGTGGGCTGGTTCAAGTTCTAAAAGTCTAATTCAAGCCTAGTTCAAGTTCAAAAAGTCTAATAATCTAATTGATTATTCCAATTACAGAGTTTAGGGAGTGACTGAGCAAACTACTTTAGACCTGGTGGAAAGAGGGATAAAATGGATGCCACATTAAGTCACTAATCATCCCTGGAGTCTAGTTTGGGGTATGGAGAGCTGAAAAAAAAGTTTTTTTCTATTAACTGTCTCCAATTCCGCCCCCTTCCTTCTCTCCTGAACCCAATGTGACCAACCTATTGATCTCACCACTCCACTGAAACAGCTCTTGCTAAAGTGGCCAATGACCTCCACACTGTTGAATTCAACAATCAATGCTCAGAACGCATCTTAGTTGAATTATCCTCAGCATTTAGCCCAGCTGATTGCCTCCTCCTCTCTAAAACACTTTCCTCACCTGACTCGAAAGAGGCCAACCTTTGCTGATTTACCTGCTACTTCGCTGGCTGTTCCTTCCTCTCCCCCTTTGCTGGTTCCTCCCATGGTCCAGCTCCCAAACCCCTCTTTTCTCTTTTACATTCACTCCCCTGGTGAACTTACCTGGTTTTGTGGCTTCAAATTACCTACGAAGTGCCAGGGACTCCCTAATTTATTATGCACAGCCCAAACCCTCGCCTTACAACTCCAGGCTTAGATAACCAATTTGACAGTTTATTAGACACCTCACATTTGGCATGACCAAAACCAAATTAACTGATTTTCCCCCAACCATACCTGCTTCTATTCCAGGCTTCTCCATCTCAGTAAGTGGCAAATGCAATTAGACAAGTATTTATTCACTTTCTGAGGTTTAGAAAAAGCTTTCGAATTATCCTCAACTTTTCTTCCCCACTCCCCGCCTCCACATCCCACGTTCAAACAATCAGCAAAATGCTGTCAGCTCTATGTTCCAATTATATCCAGAATCTGACCACTTTGCACCACCCAGGTCCATTCTACATTCTACACCACAATTATCCAATAATTAATAACATACATATCATTGATCTCCAACTCAATAAAGTAATCGTTTTGAAATTTAAGTCAAATTATGTACCTCTTCTGTTCAAAACCCCCCTTAATCCCCAACTTACTTATAATAGCCAAAGTCCTCATGACTTACGTTGAAGCCCTACAAGATCTTCCCCCGCCCCCCATGACTCTGATCTCATCTACTACTGTCCTCCCCATACACCCTGCTCCAGCCACATTGGCTGCCTTGCCATTCCTCAAATACTAAGTAAGCTCCAAGGCCTTTGCGCTTAACCGTTTGCCTTCCTTGAATGCACTTATCAACATGGCTCACTCCCTTACTTCTTTCTGAGGACTTCTCTGACCATCTGACATTTATATTTACTTGTTTGGTTGTCTACTGTTTCCCCCTACTAAAATGAGTCTAGGGGTTTTGTGTTACATACTGGCCAATTCCCAGTGTTTAATATTTAGTAGGTATGAACCAAATCTCTGTTGAATGGACAACAAAACTGATTAAGTGTGTAAAGCCAGGTCACCACTCTCAAGTAACCTACCTTCTTTGCTCTGGTTCCTCATGTCTGGCTAGTCAAGAAGAGATTGGTTGCCTTTAGCCTGAAAATTACACATTAAGGACGTAAGACAGGCTGCATTTGTCTCTACCAAATTTCTGGTCTCCTGAAAGTCTCCTAAGAAAGTTAAGGTTCAATGTAATGTAAAGAACGTGTTCCGATCAGTTTCTCTGCTTAGGTAGAATAAAGTTTCTTCTGCATTCTTTCCAATTCAACACAACTGGGTAGAGAAACACAGATGAAAACAATTTTCTGGATCCTTCTATTAAAAATGTTACCTCCACACAGAATCTTCTCAATTACTTATGCTTCTTTATTTTCCCATCTTTGCCCATATAGTTAAATGCTCTGGTTGTTCACACTGCCTAATTAACTCTGCAAATTTAATTGCATGGATTTATAAACGAAAATTCTATGAGAGTTCACATGCAAGCTAGATTACATAACCTAAAATTTAATCCACTGCTACTAAGTTTCTGTATTCTCTGAAAGGGGCTTAATTTTCCTTGAATAACTGGAAAATATCTTCAAAATCTTTAGATAGGTTATGTGAAAGACTCTAGCTACAGAATTTAATCAATTATGGTAATAAATTCTAACAAATATTCTCAATATTAAAGGCATTCTTAAAAGTCTTCAGTTATATTTCACTAGTGATTTTTACACATATTGAGATATCATTTACTTTGAAATGAGGTATACTTTATCTCTACAAGCAGGAAATGGCACCAGGTGAAGACAATGACTAAAGACAATTGCCACATAATCGTTTGCACAGAAGAATTTGAAGTGTGAAATTCTTAAACTACTTTATAACTTACAAAATTGAAATTCGTTAAAATCATGGTGCCACGGCAACTGCTATTTTATATTCAATTATATATATTTAATTGAAAAGTAAATTTCCATTTAATGTTAAGCTCAACAGTTCACACAAATTTATGATAACCTGTAGGAGTGAAATGTACACTTCACATCTGGTCACGGGAAGTGTGCCTTGAATGACAATTGTTGGTAAACATTTTTTTCCCCCATAACTATTCAAAGCATTTTATGAAGGGCTCAATCAGATCGTGTGAAATTCTAAGTCTTTAACCCCATAATTCTTAAACCAGTAAAATGGCGTCAGAGACGGGATATCTACCCTCATTCACCACTCCCAGGGTGTAAGTAAATAGCAACAAACGGACATTACAAGTTAAAGTCTCAAGCTAAAAAAGGAAAGAAAACGAAACGAAAGGAAAAGACAATGATCCTGCGTTACTGGTTGGACTTCTCTTCCTGGAGCACCCCAAGTGCCTCTACTGCCCCAAACACTTGATGGCTCCTTCTATGACTTCCAGGACCAACACTGTAGATAGAGGCTTCAAGTTCCTCCAGATTTCTAAACTATGATACGAATGCCTAATCCAACAGGCTACAGATGCCAAAGTACAGTGCAAGAAAAACTTCTGCAACCCAGACGCCAGCCAAAATGTATTCCTATCTTCCCGGAAAGGCAGAGGAAAGGAGGCTGCTAAAATATAGATAAGTGTAATTGGGAAGGTGAAAATTTGGAGGCAGACACGACTACTCCTTCCCACATTCACGGGGCAGGCAAGGAAAGGGTAAAAGATCTACCCACACCACTCTTCCTTCTTCCTCCTGCACAGCTGGGTGCAAGGATCTCCCCCAGAATGGCAGAGGAAAGAGAAGGAATCGCCACCCCAGGCTGGTGGCACCGTCCAGGCTGTCACTGAGACTGGAACTCGAGAAGGGGAGCCGGGCGGTGAGGAATTGGGGAAGGCGGGTCATTCCCTCTGAGACTGGTTACGAGGAGATCCTGGTGGATCGGGCTGAGGACGGCAGACGAGCCCAGGATGACCAAGTCTTGCCCCGCGTGCCCAGCTCCCTCGGAGGAAACTGGGTCAGAGTCCGCCCCACCCCCTCCTTTCCGCCCGTACCCGCACTTTTCTGCCCCGGAGGCGCAGCCCTCGGGCGGGCGGGCTGCCGGCCGGCCCCGCTTACCTGCTGCACCCCGAGGAACTGGTAGAAGTTGAGCTGCACCTCCTCCACCAAGTCAAACAACTCCAGGTCTCCGCTCTCCCAGCCGCGCGCCGGCCCCGCGGCCGCCAGCAGCAGCAACAGCAGCGGCGGCGGGAACGGCACGAGCCGGAGCCGGAGCCGTAGCCGGCGGCGCGGAGGAAGCCGGGCCAGCCGGCAGCAGGGCGCCGTCATCGCGCGGGGCTCGGAGAGGTCACCCGCCGCGCAGCGCCGTCGGCCGAGACCAGGGACGCGGCGGGCAGCGCGGGCTATGGGAACAGTGCTTGTCTGTCGGAAGCACCGGCAGCCGCCCCGTAGCCGCCCGCCCCGCGGCCGGTCCTAGCCTGAGGGACAGGCTGGGCCGCGGGCGGTTCTACCCTCCGCGGACCCCCACCCCTCACCCAGGCCTACAAACAGCTGGCGAGCCAGCGCCGGGCGCTGAGGTTGCACCGGGTGGGAGAGGTTTCCCCTCGCCTTAGCCTATCCCAGGCCTCGCTTCCGGTGACATCACGTCTCCTAGCAACCGCGGGAGAGGGGGCGGGGCAGGAAGTAGAGAAGCCTGCGCCCCAGAGCTGGGCCCCCGCGAAATGCCTCTCAGTCGCTGGCGCGCTCCGCGAAGCTGTGCCTGTACTGACACAGATTAAGAGACGTGGACGGTTATAGGCATCGCGCATCCACCTGGAACATCCCAAATATCCCTGAAACAGTTACCTTCTTACCCTCCCCCAGATATTGAAAACTAAAAGTATATTTGAAAACTGATTTATTGATTACGGCCTCTGTTCCACACATTTCATTATTCCATCCCCAAAGATACAGGAGGAATTGAACCTAGGACTTGAAAAGGGCAAATCTAGTGAGTAGTCTAAAATATCCTTTTGAGAGAGGTGAAGAAGAAATGAAATTTGAACCAAGACAAAAAGCATACTTCTACTAATGAATTAAGATTTATAGGCATAATACCATAAAGTAGGCAACCTGGCAGAAATTAATAAGCATGACTCAATCATAGTCTTAGGGGAAGTGTAGTTTATCTGCTTTAGCCGATTTCCAATTGGTGTTCCTTTCCCAACTGAGGTCTATTTTTAATGACATTTAGGCTAAAAACCTCCTCTCTTTCCCACCAGTGTCTCACCTCCTACTCCACCCTCCTCCTCACCGCTATTGCTTTCTCTTGTGTGAACCATATTTTCTTCTTAGCTTTTGCTTGACCAGTTTTGAGAGTTTGATCTCATGCTTTTCCCATCTTGGATCCAGCCAGCTGAATTAAGCTCAACAGGATAATGATAAAGCTCTCATAGTAAAAATATATTATGTTTGTCAAAGGTTAGAAAAACAATACCTGGATCCAGGAAGTAAATCTTACTGAAGAAATCATTCCATTATTGCAGAGTTAAAAAATATATATATTTTTTAAAATAGTTAAATGAATGCAAGTATATCTTGCTTAAAAATAATATATATGCTTGAATTAATCCCATTTTAAATTCATCATGAGGCTGAACTTTCAAAGATAGAAGAGCAGGGGTGTCACAGTCAGCAAGGGCTGCTGTAACAAAATACCATAGACTGGGTGGCTTAAACAACAGACATTTATTTCTCACAGTTCTGGAGGCTGGGAAGTCTGTAACGGGGAAAGGTCAGCATCTTCGAGTTCTGGTGAGAGCCCTCTTCCAGGTTGCAGAGGGCTGCTTTCTTGCTGTACCTTCACATGGTGGGAGTGTGGGGGAGGGGGAGAGAGATCTAGCATTTCCTCTTACAAGGGCACTAATCCCACAGGGTGGGCTCCACCATCATGAACTCATTTAATTATCTCCCAAAGGCTGCACCTCCAAACACCATCACATTGGGAATGAGGGCTTCAAAATATGAATTTGGGGAGGACACAAACATTCAGTCCATAGCAAAGGGTATCACCTTTTCTGTGTATTCCCAGTTCCAAGCACAATGCATAGCACATGCTAGCATTCCATTAGTTGAATGGAATCCTGTGAACACCTCCCCACCTCCATGCCTCCCCCTACAGTTTTTTAGTTTGACTTTTTTATATATCAGTTTTCTTAAAGTGAGAGGCATTTTTACCACCTCTACGTTAGCTTACTGTTTATTCAATGATTAAAACATCAAAATAAAATGAGAGCAATAATCTTAAGCACTACTTTTACATAATATCCCAACATTCATCTTTTCTCCTAATTTGACCATTAAATTAAGTGCAATATAACATTTGAAACTGGTGCCATATTGCCACTGATATTTTAGCGATCTGGTATTTCCCTCTTGAGCTCTATTCTTATGTTGTCCAAGAACCCCAAGGACTTCCTCCATCTAAAGGGAATAGTTCTCTTTCCAAGGTCAAGCTGCAAAGCAGAACTGAAGTCTATTCAATACAGCACTGCTATTGCTTCTCACTGCTATAAGGTATTGCTCTGGAGGCTTCTTCCTACCCAGTTCCAATAACACTAGTCCACTCTGAAATGATGTCCTTGCTTGTTCTGGTCTAGGTCTCTGCAAAGACCACAGTGCTATTTACATTTAGACTTCTAATTTGGCATCTTCACGTGTTCAGTCTCATCCCCCAGAGGACAATGCAGTTGAATAAATCTTCTTTTGCTGAAGCCAGGACTAAGTGAGCTCACAATGAACAGCTGTTTTCTTATCTGGTGACATTTAATGATTCTGGGCATGGACTGATGAAGCTTAGCCTGGGCAGAGGCAATGTACACAGGAAGAGAGAAGCCAGTGAAATGTTTAACAGTCTTGTGAGTTGTGTAATGGTTTGGAAATGTAGAGAGGAGGCCCAGACTTACAGCCAGCTTTCCCACAGAACATTTGCTGAATTCTGGGGTCGTGCAGGAGGCCGAAAGACTGAAGGATAGGAAGAGTAAAATCTCCGCACATTCTACCAGTGCATACAAAATGAACTCTACCGAAAAAGAGGAGCCTGCTTCAAATACACAGGCAGTCTTCTCCCTCAAGACATTTGCAATATTTCTGAAGTTACATGAATAGGAGGATAAAGATCTAAGTTTAAAACCTCTGAAAAGCAGAAGTGAATCTGCTGGGTTGAGGAGATAGAAACCTTGCAGGCTCTCTATCAAAAGCCCAGAGGAATCACACCTAAGAAACAAACAGAGAAACCAGAAGTTGAATGAATCTTACTAAAACTCCAACCCAATCCCTACCCAGCTCAATCCCTGATCCTCACCCTATTTGTCTATCTTCATCTCTAGGGGAAAATAACATCAATCCTATTGTCCATTGTTTTTAATATAAAACTCTGGTACATAATAAAAAAAATTATGAGATGTGAGAAAAACAGGAAAATTTTACCAATAATCAAGAGAAAAAAATAGATAATAGAAGACCCACAGATAAGCCAGCTATTTGAGTCCAGACAAGAACTTTAAAATAACTATTATAAAGTAGAGCAATAGTTTATAAAATAGAAGAAAAAGTGGACAAAATGGATTAGAAGACACAGAATTTCAACAGAGAACTGAATCAATGGAAAATCTCAAATTTAAAAATGTAATATCTGAAATCAAGAATTCAGTGGATGAGTTTAACAGCAGACTGGACACAGCAGAAGAGAGGATTAGTGAATTTGAGGATAGGTCAAGAAAAAATACCCAACCTGAAGCAGAGAGAAAAAAGAATGGTAAGAGAACAGAGCTTTAAATGCATGTGGTAGCACAGGGAGATCAGCTCGGTGCTTTGTGACCACTAGAGGGGTGAATAACATCAATCCTATTGTCCATTGTTTTTAATATAAAACTCTGGTACATAATAAAAAAAATTATGAGATGTGAGAAAAACAGGAAAATTTTACCAATAATCAAGAGAAAAAAATAGATAATAGAAGACCCACAGATAAGCCAGCTATTTGAGTCCAGACAAGAACTTTAAAATAACTATTATAAAGTAGAGCAATAGTTTATAAAATAGAAGAAAAAGTGGACAAAATGGATTAGAAGACACAGAATTTCAACAGAGAACTGAATCAATGGAAAATCTCAAATTTAAAAATGTAATATCTGAAATCAAGAATTCAGTGGATGAGTTTAACAGCAGACTGGACACAGCAGAAGAGAGGATTAGTGAATTTGAGGATAGGTCAAGAAAAAATACCCAACCTGAAGCAGAGAGAAAAAAGAATGGTAAGAGAACAGAGCTTTAAATGCATGTGGTAGCACAGGGAGATCAGCTCGGTGCTTTGTGACCACCTAGAGGGGTGAGATAGGGAGGGTGGGAGGGAGACGCAAGAGGGAGGAGATATGGGGATACATGTATACGTATAGCTGATTCACTTTGTTATAAAGCAGAAACTAACACACCATTGTAAAGCAATTATACTCCAATAAAGATGTTTAAAAAAATACATGTGGGACACAGTGAATAAATCTAACACACATATAACTGGGGTCCTAGATAAAGAGGAGAGAGAGGGAATGAAGCAGAAGCAATAATTATAGAAACAATGGCCAAGAATTTTACAAAACCAATGAAAGACATGAAACCAAAGATGAAAAAAAAAAATTAACTCAAAATAGGTGATAGACCTAAAGGTAAAAGCTAAAACTATAAAACTCTTATTTAAAAAAATAAGAGTAAATTTTAGTGACCTTGGGTTAGCCAGTGGTCCCTTAGATATGACACCAAAAGCATGTGACAGAGGAAAAAATAAATAAATTGAACTATACGGAAATTTAAAACTTTTGTGTCACAAACAATACCATCAAAAAAGTGAAAAGACAACAAAGATAATGGGAGAAAAATATTTGGAAATCATATACTTGATAAGAGACTTACATCTAGAATATGTAAAGAATTCTTGCAACTCAACATTTTTTTTGAATGGGCAATGGATTTCTCCAAAGAAGATATATACAAAAGGCCAATAGTATATGAAAACTTCTCAACATCATTAGTCATTAGGAAAATGCAAATCAAAACTACAGAGAGAAACCACTTTACACCAGTTACAATGGCAGTAATTTAAAAGACAGACAAAAAAGAGGTTAGTAAAGATGTGGAGAAAGTGGAACCCTCATTTATTGCTGGTGGGAATGTGAAATGATGCAGCACCTTGGGAAAACCATTTGGCAGTTCCTCAAAAAAAGAAATATAGAGTTACTATATGACCCAGGAATTCCACTCTTAGGTATATACACAAGAAACATAAAAACATAAAA